CGCACGCACATCTTGCATTTCTTCTTAAGAATCGCTAGAAACAAGATGGAAATGTTCCATGATTTGTTGCTAATTGTCCTGGAAGGATTGTCCTCGTCCTTTCTTTGTCATTTTATTAAAACTTGTTTAGAAATTTTATTCTTGATTTTAAATTTCGAAATAGGAAAAGGGATATCAGTCGTATCTTTTAATGTGGCATCTTCAGCAGCTTCATTCCCTATTATACCTGTATATCCCCGTATCCAATTTAGGATAATAGGAGGAATATTCATTTTTATATTTATTGTTTCTTGAAAAGTTTGAATAAGTAAAGATGTTGTCTTCGTGGAAAATAACACCTTTAAGACTTTGGCTATCTCTGTGAAGCATATTGAGGCTTATTACTCTTGAGAAAGGCATTTAGCCATAAAAAGTTTTACTTCAAAGCTATTGCTTCCGCTGTGTAAACTGTCCCTGAATTATTTAGACAAAACGTTTTCAAAATTTACAAAATAAATTTGTAATTGTTCGGCTTTGCGTTATTTGCTGCCAAAATTTAAGTTGATACGACGGTTAAGTGTTCTAAGCCAGCTAGCTTAGATTTAAATTTGTTTGCTCTTAGATCACTAGTCCATGTTTTAAATTTGTATTTTATTGTTATGTTAGTTTCATCGCCAAAAGTGGTGGTTAATTTATCAAGCGAAACTCGTGCACTTATGTTCATGTTCTATTTTAATAAAAACTTTGTTTTAAACCTTTTTAGGTCTCTATAGTTACTTCAGAGACAGCGCTAGTTCGTTATACGTCTGTTGTTACATAACGTTAACTATACAAATACATATGCGCTAACGGTTATTTGCAAGTTTGGAAATGGTTTATTTTACCAAAGCAAGTCAAACTTTATAAGTTTTGTTAGTAAATATTGTAATACGATATAATAAGCTTGATATTTAAATTCTGAAGTCTTTTATTTCATTATTGCACAGAAATAATTTAAATGTAGGAATATAATCATTATTACTAATATTCCAGTGTAAAACGCATTCTGAATTTTTATTTTAAATTTAAGAATTAGGATTTTCTGTTTATGTTACAAGAAATATTATTTAATTAACATATGCGAAAACTTAACAACATGTACGTTTATTTCGGAGCGCCATGGGCTCACAATTTGTGTTTATGGATGACAACGCCCGTCCTCACCGTGCAAACATCGTAAGCGAATGCCTTCAATCGGAGAATATCACCCGTATGGACTGTCCAGCATTCTCACCGGACTTGAATCCAATAGAGCACGTGTGGGACATGCTTGGCCGACGAGTTGCAGCCCGTCAACCCCCTCCTACATGTCTACCGGATCTTCGGAGAGCATTGCTTATTGAGTGGTATAATATCCCCCAAGATCAGATCGATATTTGATACTCGGCTGCCAGGCATGTCGGACGGTATTGCATCGTCTGGGAGACATACAATGTGTTAACAATCATACCAACCATGTAATATTGGTTTTTTGTAAATAGTTTTTTTTTTTTTTTTGTAATTTGCTCCAGGGAGAAAAATCGCTAATTTTTTATAATATCAAACATATAGCATCTTTTTTTACTCTTTCCTTTGTTTAATGAATAAGCTTTCAAATAAGTCAAATTTGTTTTGCTTCTAACTCTCCCTTTGCCTGATTTTGCATTATCCTTAATTTATGGACATGAGTGTAATTTTGCGATTGTGAATGAACGTGGTCGCGTTAAAGAGATGATGGTTGATACCGGTGTTTAGTTGTAATATCAGAAATGTAAGTGCGTATGTGTGTGTATTCAGAGAACCAACTCGTGGCAAAAAAACCATCTCCCTAAGATGACCGCCTCTGAAGGAAACCAGTATTTCTGAAAACGTAAATATATTTTGATATTGAACATTCCCTCTGTAAGACGACCATTCGCAAAGAAAATTCTGCAAGTACGGCTGGTCGCCTTAGAAAGATTTATTTCATAGAGACAACTTCCCTAAGACGACCACCTTTTAAAAGATAAGCGTACTTCTGAGAACGTGAGTATATATTGGTATTGAGCATCACTTCCCTAAGGCGACCACTTGTAAAGATGTAATTTTACTTTCGGCTGGTCGTCTTAGAGAGACCTCGTTTTGTATGGTGTGATTATAACGATTACTGTTATTGTTTACGACAAAAGTTTTTTTTAAATCAAATAAATATGTATATTTAGCAAAAACTCTCTCTAAAACGATCACCTGCGTTTCCAAGTTACTCTGATGATCTTAAAGAGATCATATTTTCATTCTATTAATTTTATTGTTTACAAGAAGTCTATTAACGTCAGAAAAGAAATTAGCATAAACCCATATAAAACAACAGAAGATTTATTATTAATTGAACTAGTATGAAAACCAGTAAAGTCATATAAACCATACAAACCATTAAGTTCTGAAATTGATGTTGGTTGTATGGTTCAATTGATCCCAGTAAGAAAAATCCACAGAGTCAATAGAAACCATAAAGTCAGTAGAGACGAACAAAAATTCTATAGATACCAGTAGAAAGTTTTACTGGTTTCTATGGGGCATTTTGAAACCAGTAAGAAAAACCCACAGAGACCAATAGAAACTAGTAAAAGTCAATAGAAACCCTTAAAAAGTTTTACTGGGGCATTACTTAAAAGTTTTTATGGGGCATTTTTAGCAGGGTTATGTTTTAACCAGAGCTTTGCGGAGGTGGTTCTTAGTTTTGTGGATAAATCATAATTCCAGCCGGAGCGCTAAATAAGAAGTCTCCGGCACTTCTTTTATATAACTGAATAACAATTTTAGAAGTTTGATCTTGAAATTTTTATTTTTAGCAATAAAATTATATTAAAAATCGCTTATTAAATTTTAATTATCTCTTTACTTTTATTTAATTTTATTACTTAATTTCTTGATCTTTATTATTTTAATAAATATAATTAATTAATAAGTTATTAATTAATAATAATTAACTATTAATTTTTAATAATTAATGAATTAACACTCATTAATTTTAAATAATGAGTTTATAGTTTTTTATTTATTACTACTCTGTTCATCATTGCTGACGGTCTTCCATAGGGCCTTGGCATTTCTAATTTTAAAAACGAAGTCCTGGTTTATAACTCAAAGACTATATACAGTTAGGCTAAGTTTCTGTAGATATTCTACGCATACCCTTGCGGTGACACAGTAAGTAGTGTTCTGTATTCCAGTTCCTGCCATACTCCTGATAGAATATCTTTTGTTAATGATTCGACCACTTCACTTATCTGCTACTCCAGTTGCTGCAAGTCCTGGTGAAACAAAGACGCGAACACTAAAAAAACTGCATAGGAAAAAAAAAAAAAAATGTTTTACTGAATATACGAGTATTAAATCCAGCACTTTTATTGAGATTTTATATTCCATTACGTAAATAAATGGCTAGCTGTCTGTTGGATAAAGAGATTTTCATATGCAAAGTATTTCTGTGAATTTTGTTAGTGAATGGATTGCATTCAAATGCACCAGTGTAGGTATTTCACAAGTTGAAAAACATTCAGATTTGTATAAAATAATCCTTGGGATATTAATTTCTTATTTCTATTATTCATTGCGAGTGCTCCGAATGGAGGTAACGACAGGTGTTTAAATAATCCGAATGACATCAGCGCACCAGTTTATATATACAAGTTCAGAAACCCTCTACTTTTGATGTGTAATTTTCCTCTGTCATATTAACTGCATATTTCTTCTTTCTTTGCGTGTGCTAAATGGGGAACTTACTGATCAGGTGTTCAAATATTTTAAAAAGAATAAAGAAGCTTTATTTATTTTTATCGTCTTCGCAATCTTTTCAGTCTGGATGCTTCAGTAATATTGTTGCAAGGACTTTCTTACTGCGTACAGTGATACTGGGCATAAAAATAACACATTTTTGTAAGATTTTTAAAACCTCGAAAAGATATTGTTGTGTGCAGTTGGCAATAAAATCCCCTCCGTTACAAAGAAAGGGAGAAAGACGCGAGTACGTTGTAATTTTATCTGTGGTTCTTTATAGCATTTCTAAACTTAAATTATAATTGAGGTAGTTAAAGTACGTTTTCTTATACAGCCTTACACGCCGACGATAAAATTTAATCTCCTAACATCAGTGTAACATTTTAACATCATAATTTCTTAACTTCATCGCCTTTCATTCAAAATAGAATTGAATGACTATAAGGAAATTTTGATATGACATGCATGGTATTCATATTTTATCTTTATTCCTATAACAATATTCTCAGGAATACTTTGATGAAATTTTATTCCTGTAACAATATTTTCATTAGTCTTTGATAATTTTCTGTTTGTACGAGTTTACGTTAATAAAAAAAATGTAAAAAATAATTTATAGAAGAGAATAAAAAAAAATTTAATTAAAAGAATATTTTTTGCATTTTAAGATATATCTGATTTTTTAATTCTTAATTTCTGGAAAAGCATCTTCTAAAAGTTTATATATATATATATATATATATATATATATATTAAAAAACGAGAACAAGTTCATTGAATTTTAAATGTTTAAAATGAATGCAGGTTTTTTTTTATTTAAACTGTATTTCGTAGCGCTAAGGTGAAACAAAACATCGCTGGGCTGGGAGTTGGGGAGAAGAAAAATATTCAGGTCTTAGTCTTTCGTGTTGATAAATTTCAGAAAACGCATCTTCGTATATTTTTGTTCACAGACTGAATACAATTAAGTGTGCAAAAAATTAGTCTACAGTTAAACAGAAACGCCTGTGCAACATGTTTTCTGTCTTTAGTTTATTGTTCACAGGAAAGCCAACAAAACAGCACTGAAAAAAAACTACCAAAAAAGAGAAAAAAAAGCCAGTATTCTCGTAAAAACTATGTAAATAAAAATGTAAAGACATAATTTCCGAGTATTCCTTACCAAGTATACTGTTTATTTTTACATTGCTTTATTAATGTATGAATTACTGTCTGTAGGTTGTTAATTAGTCTGTATTTTATAGGTATAGGATTCGGAATGGTTTTCCTGCCAGCTGTTGTTAGCGTAGGTTACTATTTCTCAACAAAACGTGCTTTAGCTACAGGAATTGCCGTCTGTGGATCTGGTATGGGTGCTTTCATCTTCGCCCCATTCTGTCAGAAACTTCTAGAAATCTACGACTGGAAAGGAGCTATGCTAATACTTGCTGGGTTGACCTTAAACTGCGCAGTTTTTGGATCGCTTATGAGACCTTTGGAGCCTGGTCCTCGTCAGAAACCTCTGTTGCAAAGAATAGCAGAAGAAAAAGAAAGGCACAGAATGGATTCCTTATGTGAGAGCCAATACATGATAATTCAGCACTCGGACGGAACTGTAGAAAAAAGACCCAAATTTGTCCTTAATTTGGAGCCCGGGGTTCATTCTACTCTGTATCTTGACCAGTTTGGAAAATCGCCAGCTGATACTCCTGTTTTCACTTTATCGCCAATACAAGAAGCCAGAAAGTCTCCAGCCAGTTCGAAAGAGGAGGAGATGGATGAAAAAGACGAAGCTGAAGAGAAAGCTCCCTTAACGGGACCTTCATTACCTAAAGTGGCAACAACTGTTTCTCTTCCTAACCACAGTTCAGCCGGCACACCGACTAATGGACCTAATGCAGGTGACCAACAAGATGGTCCATCATCACCACACATTCATAATGGAAGCTTACCTCAAACTGCCATACGCGAGTTAGCAAAACGCAAAGGACTCTTGCCGCCTTTTAGGGGAGCTATGAAACTTAGTCTGAGCAATATAACTGTTAATAATGAGATGCGGAAAAATAATGCTTCTTTGAAGATCTCATCCAGTGGATTCCTTTGTCCAGGTCAACAGAACAACAATTTTAATGCAGACGAGGTGTGGAAGCAAAACATTCGTGATCAGACTACTCAAACACCTGTTCCGCTGGACGGTAGCAGGAGGCCATCACTGCGGCGCGATCGCAAAGACTATAGTCGGCCACTTTACAGAAAAGATGTCTTTTATAGTGGAAGCATTCGTAATTTACCCGAGTACAAACAGTCTCAAGGAGACGTGCGGTCTTACGTAGCTAGTGTGACATCTATCCCCAGGGATATACCTGTATCTCAGTCTGTACTTGGCGATAACAAATCTGTTGTTCTTGATGGTAAAGAAAAACCAAAACTGTGTCCCGACTGCATAAAATTACCGAGGTCAATGACTGATACAATGTATGAAATGTTAGACTTCTCTTTACTGAAGAACCGTGTTTTTCTCATGATTTGCATCTCTAACATTATAGGAATGATTGGTTTCTATGTGCCATATGTTTACATCACAGATAGCAGTACCATGAAAGGAGTTTCTCCAGAAAAGGCTGCTTTTCTGCTGTCTGTCATAGGCATTACAAACACCCTTGGACGACTTCTGTTTGGATGGTTTGCTGATCGCCCTGGTGTCTCAGCCTTGCTGGTCAACAATATTTCTATTCTACTAACAGGAATCTGCATATTTTGCTTGCCTTTCTGCAATAACTATACAGCCATTGTAGTTGACTGCGTTCTATTTGGATTATTTGTGTGTAAGTATACATCAGTCTGAAATACTCTTTCCAGTTTTGTGTAAAATGTTTTTGCTTTCATTTTAATACGCAGAACATTACCTTTTATGAAAATTAGAATGTGTTTTGGATGTCTTCATGATGCATTCTCTTTACAAATGATACTTTTTGTGCGTAATAAGAATAGTAAAATTTCTGAGCATAAGTATAAGACAGATGCAAGGTGAAGCAGCGCACGATTGTTCCCTGTAAATCTTTGCCTTCAGAATAATACAACCGGAGCGAAAGACGATAATATCATTTATTATGATATTAATTAAAACTTAAATTAGCGTATGTCAGTAACTCGCTATAAAACCTGCAAATGTTTTCATCAGAAATACTTGCAATCGTATGAGAGGCTCTAAGTTTATGATGCATTTTTAAATCTTAACTATTGCTACTAATCAAAGAAGTTTCACTGTGTATCCAACCTTTTTTTACTTCCTTGTGCGAAGTAAAGGAAGTGTAATTGTGAAAAATTTCGGGTGTCATATTTCAACGAAAATATCCATTTTGATTTCTCACGAATCCATTTGAACGATATATTTTTGTGTGACAGAATAAAGGACTCTTTTTTCCGAAACGTATCGTAAAATGGATTCAGAAGAGATATTTTCGTGACTTCTGTATGTATGTACGTGTCTCCCATAATTCAAAAACGAGTGGCCGTAAAACGTCGAAAAAATTGTGTACATGAGTGTATTAAAATGTGTAGTAGCGCAATTCCCTTTTTCGTTGCAATCTGCCGCACCGAACGTATATATATATATAATTTAAGAAAGGAGAACAAACTAAAAAAATTGCCACTCTGTTACTCTACTCGGTAAGCTTAGTTTTTTTATTCTTATATGTTGTTATGTTGCGGTTAAGGGTTTTATGCCTTTAGTTAATCTGCATGCAATAGTTGTAGAATCATCAACAGTTTAAAAATTTAAGTGGCGTTAAGCCTAACGAGGCTGCCATTTGTTTACATCTGGAACTATTAGTAGAGTAATGAATTAAGTCAGCCAGGACACCAACTTCAGTTTCTTTCTATTCAGTCGGACCAAAAGTTCACGTTCATTTTTGTGCACCATATTCCTGCCCGTTGATCGAATTGTTTTTTTTTTTTTTTTGTAGAAACTCTAATTTTAGTTGTGAAAATTGTTTTTTAAACTGTTTTAACTGTATGTGGTGCTTTAGGTTTTTCTGCATTTTACCAGTTTTAATAAAGATTTGAGTTTTTTGGGGGGAGGGCTTGCCGCAAAGTGAGATCTGAATTAACTGAAAGATAAAAAATACTCTAATGAAATGCGAGGAAATAAGTTTAAATGAAGAGCAGAAAAAATTGTGTATATTTTAATAGGCTATACAAGAAAGTCATGTGGAGTCCACATCAAATGTTTTTTGTCTTTCAGTGCTACGATTCCTGCGTTTGTTCTTATAGACATTTCTAGCTCTTGCATGAAGGTGAAGTTTCCACTTTTGTAACAAACGCTTAACCAAAATGAAAGCGTAATTACAAGCTGCTAGAAAAGGAAAGATTTAAAGGATTTCCGCACATTTTGCTTTGTGCAAGAAATTGAGTAAAAAAAAATTTACACAAGTTTTAAATAGAGAAAAAGGAATAGACGTACATATGAAACATGAGAGAACAGTGCTACTATAGCATAAACAAACATACCATACAGTATCTGAGAGCATTTAATAAATAATAAAATTTAAATATCTAGAACTTTTAAAATTAGGCAAAATAGCATCCTATTTCGGTATAGATTTTGAATAAATTTTATCGATTTCCAGGGCGATTAGACGCAGGTCCTTCTTTTTCAGGAGCAGAAAAATTATATAAACAGGATTAAAAGCTCTTAGAAATATAATAACATGGTTTATCACGTTTTAGTTACTTTTTCCCTCGAGAAATGGCGCTGCATTCGTGTTCGCTTTGCTTCGATATAAATTTGCTGACAAAACTTGCGTGACTTCAGCCTTCCTGATCCGCCATTATCATGCTTCTGATTCGCAAGCCGATGATCCCAGCATTGTTCTGGCCCCTCCTGTCTCATGGTTCTCCTTTCCGACCAGCAGATGGAGCCACATGTGCCACCCGCTTCCATTTCCTGTCGATGTTTTCTGCTTTATGGAGGATAAAGTGTCCTCGCTTTCTATCTTAGTTCTGTGATCTTCCCTGGGAAATTCAGTTAAAGAACTCTCACTTTCGTAATGCTCTTTAGGGGCTCTCTAAGGACCTTGTAAGAGCTATTTTGTAATAGCCTCATGTCAGCATAACAACTAGTTCCAAGTTCCCTTTTACAAGCTGTTATTGTTTGGTACATATTCGCGGCAATTTACAGTTGCTTGGTTGCGTGGTACTTGAGAACATGTACACATCTCGCAATAATCCCTAGAGTGTTGCCTTGGCCTAATATGGTAACACTGCTATGGCCAATTTTAGTGTCCAGGATGTCGTTGGATAAGCTCAAATAAAACCTCTTCATACAATGGTAAATATTTTTTAATTCTTTGAGTAAGTATGGTGAGAAATAGAAGATGATTAAAGAAAACTTTCCCCAATATATGAACCCAATGCGGCGAAATATGAAATTTCAGATATTGTAATCTGCGCTGAAGACTGTGATGATTTAAAACAGTAGAGCTTTCGTGGTTACGGTTACAGCGAAAACATCTCGAAATTTTCGGCTGGCAACACGCACTTTTTTCCCTGTCAAAAATTAATCAGGAAACTGAGAAACCAAAATGGCGTTGGAACGATACACGTATGAGAAAAATTGCCGGCGTAAAACATTTGCAATGAAGAACATTGTTATCATTGACAACACAGAAGAGAGGAGATGCATTGATGCACTTTGCATAATTTGCAGGAATAGACAGCAGAAGATTCAATCACATCACACCATGTGCAAAGCATTGCTTGTGGAAAACCTTTTATAAGCAGTGTGGGAAGATTGTTTCTTGTTTCTTCAATCAGATGTTCGAATGTGCTGACAAGATTACATTAGGGAAAGAACGAGCAAAATTGATAAAACTGTTTGAAATTGATAAAGCTGTTTGGATGTCGGCTTTATCAATCAACGTCGATCCTGACGACCATGTGTTCCAATTGAAGTTGTTGCATAAGTGCGTAAGGCCCATATCACACGGCGTTTGTTCCACACGAACAACTGTTTCGGACAATTTTTCTGCCTGGTTTACTATTGAAAGAAAGACGCGCGACTTTTTCCTTCCTTTCCAAAAAAATTGCAGGTTGTTCGTTTTCAACCAATCAGCTATCAGCTTCGAATGCTATCAGCTTGTTTGTAATGGGGAACCAGTTTCCCTTGCGTTAACCCCAAAGCGATCTGTGGTGATTGGCTGTTGTGACAAAGCAGAAAAATTGTTCCAAACAGTTGTTCTTCCGAAACAAACCGACGTGTGATAGCAGCCTAATACGATTACTCCAGGTCCATTGCATATTGCAAGAAGTGTTGCCCGCAGTTTGGATGTACCGAATACAACAGCCCTCAAGCTTCTGCGCTCTGTTCTGCGGATGTTTCTTTATCGATTCCGGTGTGCCCACATGTTGCAACCTAAAAATGAGCATGAACGTGTCGACTTAATGAATTTTTTCCTCATCATATATGATGAAGATAGCAGGTATCCGCTTACGATATTACAAATGAATGAAGTGCATTTCCTCTAAACTGGGAACATAAACTCCAAGAACCACGCGCTCTGAGCTGACGAAAATCCTCATAATGCAGCACCAACGCCTTTGAGTGAAGTTGAAGTGACTGTGTGGTGCGACATCGCAAGCACATTCGTTCTCGGTCCGTACTTCATCGAAAAGGTCATTTCCACCACTCCATCACAACTGCTCGGTATACAACAATGTTGCAGAATTACGTAATTTCAGGATTGCAGCAGCGAAATATCGTTAATGATATTGTATGGATGCAAGATGATGCTCCTCCGAGTGTTCGGCGTGTGCTGTCACAGCGCTTTGGAGATAGTTATCTCCCGTAATTTTGCATTTTCGTGGACATCGAGTTCCCCCGACCTCACTGCAATTGGTTTCTAGTTATCTAAAATCTAAGGTGTACACATTAAATCTACGAGATATGTCAGAATTGAAAGATGCCGTAAAACGTGAGGATATACAAATTCCTCATCTGGTGTTACGTTCCTCATTGTTGTCAACAATCCCCCGCATTCAATACGTTTTAACCCCAGAACCAAAATTTTATTGGAGTGAAGTCGGGGGTTGGCGGTGGTTACAAGACTGCAATGTTACGGGAGATGAGTCTATCTTGAACACGTTGACAACTTATAGTTTCAATAAAAGTTTTTTTTCTCTCTCTCCTCATGTTGTCATTCGTCCTTTACGATTCTCTTCTTTGTAAATGTTTTATGCTCGCAAGTTTTGCTATATGTGTATCGTTCTAACGCTATTTTTGGTTTTTCAATGCGCTGGTTTGTTTGCGCAGATAAGAACTAGCTGTTGCCGTTCGAAAATTAACGTAAGCATGTTACCTCTGTTGTTTTAAATCATCACAATTTCGACCATCTACCTTCAAATAATATTATCTGAACTTCCATTTCGATTGGTTGAGCCAATGGGCCGCTAGTTTCATATATCGGGAAGTAACCAAAATTATGTACTTAGGACTGATGATATAGGAGGTGGGTAGTATACGATTGGAGGGTGAAGTCAGTATTTATGAGTTCAAACTTTTGGAAGCCAGTGTATCTGTATGGCCTCCGACAGAGGGTTTCGAGTATTGCAAGCTTCATGCAAGAGATATGACACTTCTGAGAATTTGTTGATGAGGCTATATTTATTTCCGGATTTATAGCTTGGTGGGGTGTTACAATATTTTTAATGCAATTTGTGTCGTAGACATAAAAAATGATGAAATATAGTAACAGAAACAGCTAAAATCTACTAAATAAATAAAGTGTTGCAGAATTTTTCATTCTACATTTAGTTCACACTGAAATGTCAGCTTTTTATCCAAACATAAACTTCCGGGATAAATTCTCTTAGGGTTTACGTTCAACAACTAGTTCGTCGAATTAAATTTTTTAGGATGCGTTAGCCGAACTTGTTGAGTCTAATCACTGTCTGTGTTTCTTATTATTGTATCTAGATATCAACTCAGTTTAATATTTACTATTCAAATAGGCATCGTATGTCTGATAATACTGTTCTGCAGACCTGTAGATTCTCTAAACGTTGAAATGTTTTTAACTCGTATCTTATCATTTGGCTTTTATGAATAAGCTGTAAGTTTGCGTTGTTTCTTCATATTTTATCAAGCAGTGTTTAAATTTTAGAAGTTTATTTTATTCTGAAAATAATAACATAGATTTTATTTACCAAAATCTGGTTGCAAAATATCAAACAATCTATATTGCCGTTAAATTATCCAACCAACCACTCATACTTGTGTTCATTAAATCGTGAAGATGTGCAAGATAAAGTTCCATTTTTTTAAAAAAATTAATGCATAATGTAATCATTACGCGATCATATTTTTATGCATTATGTAATGCATAAACATGCATCATGTAATCATATTTTTGTCATATTAATCATTCCTGTCTTTCCAGCCGCCTACATTTGTTTAACTTCTATTATACTGGTGGAGCTGTTGGGATTAGACAAATTAACAAATGCATTTGGTCTTCTCAGTCTGTTTAGAGGAGGATCTTGTATGCTAGGAGCACCAATAGCAGGTAAGCATAAACATATCTTCTGTAGAAAACGTCAACAAGTTTCGCAGTGGAGATTCTCTTGATTTTCTCGCGGTGTACATTCTAGAGTTTTTCTATTGTGATGAGAGAAAAACTGTGAAAAACTAATGAATTTATTTAGCACTGTTGAAATTGGAAGTGATTGTTGAAATAGTGCGTCATCTAGTTTGACCTTTTCTCTATGTAACGAATCTTTCATTATGTCAGATATCTGAGAAAAATTACAATGAATCCATGCAGCCAGTTTATTTCTTGATTTCGCAAATTAGTCATTGACTGTCTCGCTACAGATGGTTTGGTTTATGTGATTACGGCAAAGTCTCGAGGGCTATCTGTCTGAAGGATGCCTTCGTAGAGGACTTTCTAAGGAAAACTGGCTCCTATACACATGGGTAGGTAGGTTACGGAGGACTGGAACGCCTGGTGTCTAACAGAAGTAAACAGGCATGTGTTTTACGCCCTCCTCTAACTACAGCAAAAGCTCTCTGGAGCCCCAAGAGGCTGCACCAGGAGATTATTGAGGTTATCAAAGGGAAGTACATGGGCATTAGTAGAACTGTATTACAGATTGAAGAGGCAGGCTGTGGTGTTACAGATGGTAGGTAGTTAAACTAAAAATACAATAAGATGTACACATAAAAAAAAACATAAATACACATAAGCAAATAATACACAAAACACAAAGCGCAAAATGCATAAACAGAGAAGGCACAATAAGATAAATGGAGTACATGAAGTCACATGAAGGCTGAAGCACAAAGTTAGTGTTGGGCAGTTCTGTTGTGTATAAATACAGGTACATCTTGCATGGTGAATGAAGAGTTCGAAAACGCCCATGCAGCCAGCCCGTTCGCGGGATTCGAACCTCGGACCGAACTACCAGTGTTCGCTGGCTGGCCTCAGTCCAGATGGACAATCAGTCATTTAACTATCATTGTTTGGGACATTTTCATCATTATTAAAATACTTGTTAAATGAGATTCATTTCATGGATTATCGTCTAAACTTTTATCATTCGTTCTATGTCAGGTAATTAAATAATGCTTTTTTCAAGTTTTGCGTTCTATTCTGTTTTGGATTCCTGAAGATTACAACGCTAGGCCTTTTCACGATACGCAGAGAGCGTAAATATGAGTGCTTCATATCATTTGAATAAAACTGGTACTACTCTCACCACATTAGCACAGTTGGGCAATTGGTTTGTTTTTAACGCCTCTGTGATTGCGATAGGTATTACTCGTGCCTTCGCGGTGTGGTGGTCTGCACGCTGGGCCCGTATTCCAGAGGTCCGCGTTTCGATTCCCGGCGAAGGCGTTGCTCATTTTTCCTCTCTTCTGCTTAAAAAATATCTAATGTCTCTACAAAGTAACTCGACATTTATAATTGCAATGCTATGATTTATGAAATCGCATAAAAATAGGCTGAATTGAAACAAATTTTAATATTCATATCAGATGAAGCTGAACTTCTGGATAACTAAAGCACAGTTTTTTTTAATAAATTGATCATTAAAGAAACTTAGCATTTTAATGATTTATTTTGGTCTTTCTTCCAACATATAAAATACTTTAAAATATTGATTTATTCTGTTTTCTTTGCGGAATGAAATTGAAATGTTTAATTTCCTTTTTTAAATTCGACATAATGTTTAACTGCGCAGCTATATCCCGTGGATGTTCCGAGAAGTCTTACATTATTACTTGATTTCTTTTTATGTATGCTTAAATTGCGTACTTGAATTAAAATAACCATTCACATTTCATATAGTCCTGTGATATGACCCTTCTCGAACGAATTTAAATGTTCATATTGCTGTCGAGTTCGTCTAAAAGTAGGGTTCGTAGCGGCCCTTATAAGTGCTTATAAGTCCTTATATTTGAAAATAAAATATAAAGGCCCTTATAGGTGCTTACTTTTTCTTTAAAGCCCTTATTTTTTTGTTTTTAGTGCTTTTTTTTTTTTAATGAACGCGCTATTTTTCCCCGTACCAAAACCGAAACTAAATAAACAACTTTTCTTCCTAATATGGAATGTCAGATGGTGAGTCATACCACAGCCAACTCTATATACAGTCGGCTGTGGTCATACTCCCGGAAATAGCTTTTCCTCCTTTCTCTGTATTAACATAACCTTTGGTGTGCACGAAGAGTACAGACAGGTGCCCGTCGTTCTATTGGTCAAAGAATTGCGAAAGCAGTAGAAAATTCCGCTACATTCGGCATTCCTTTCCTCCCACCCAAATACTACACACGTTTGAATTTTTATCAAGATCTTAAAAATTTGCATTCTCGTTCTGCTTGGTCAGTTCATATTCGTGTTTATTATGATCGTTATGCTTATATTATGAGCATATGTATGAATGTTTATAATAACATAGTTGCAGTAACTGCTGAAGTATAGTAAAACTTCCGAAAATGGTTGTGTTTTAACACAGATTAGCTTTTAAGGAATAATATTCGGAATGGCTTAAATAAAGGGAAAGTAATCGAATAGTCAAAATAATTTCATTTTTTTTGGCCAATACATTATGCAATACGAGGGAGGTCTCCCCTTTCTCCGCAAAATCTTGAATATTGAAACTGTAACAGTTCGATGCAAAACAAGGAACGAACCTTTTTTTTTTTTTTTTTTTTTTTTCTTTGGTCACTTTCCAATCTGGATTGAATAGGACTAAAAGTTCTGCGGTCTACCAACCCAAGCGAAGAATGATTCTATTCCGAAAATTTAACGCCGTCTGTTGAAAATTAGAATCAGAAAGCACCCCAGATTAGTAAGTATCCTTCAGTTTCCTTTATTTAGTTCTTTATTCTCCCGGTTACCGGCAGCTGTTGATTCCGATTGCGTAATATCACGTATGTGGAAGAATTATACGGCGCACGTATTGTGCAATAACATTTGCGGTATTTTGCAGAGATAATTAATTTTGATGTTCAGTCCGAGATTTGTTTATGAACACTTAAAAGAGGTTTTACTGTGCTATGCTAAGCAGAATATTTTCGCAGTTCCGTTGGTCTATTTTTATATGATACACTTATCAAAATGTCAAAAGCATTTATTTAGCGGAAAAATCTAAAGAACGGCTACAGTCTATCCTACCCCAACTCCGCTCCTTTTTCCAAGTTACGCTCGAGTGTCCGAATATTCGCCAATTTCCAAGTATGCGGGTTAGTTAAGCTTTTACTGTTAAAAATGACTGCATGAAGCAAATTTCTGTCTTCTGATTTCAGAAATGTTCCTCTTTTTTACTTAAATTACTTTGCTTGCAATTAAAAAAAGTAATTATTTTCCATGGTTGAGGTAATGTTTATTCTCTCTTAATAAGTACTTCATTTCTCATATTTTAAATTACAAGTCTAATTTTTAAGGTTATGCAGTTGTGTATGATATAATTAGACAGGTGCTTATTTTTTTCTTAAAATGTGCTTGAAAAGTGCTTATAGGTGCTTATTTTTTTAACTAAAATGTGGCTATGAACCCTGTAAAAGGCATAGTATATTTTAAACTGGTGTTCTGAATACAACTCGATTTCTTTTAGTGTGTGCCTAAATTGCATATTTATATGTGCAGTCACATTGAAAAATAAGCACATCGCTATGACCTTTTACAGTCCGGCTGGTACAGCAATAAATCTCGCCGGACAACTGTGAAATTTGAATCATTTGCAGTGACGAATATTACTTTTGATCTCATTCAGGTAGATTGTGTACTTGTGCGTTCAATTTTGCTCTGCTTTTTAGGGAAGGCGCGGAGGGGGGATGATGACACATCATTTATTCAGTTCGAGTCGGGGGACAAGTATTGAGGTTGTACCCAACGCAGAAACTCTTCACTGTGATTGAAGACTTCGATTTTTAAGTATTGCTATAACGATAACGCCAGTACCTTGAGGGAACCCGCTATTTGTTCGTGATGGAGACATTCGATAAGGCCAAGCTTTTACGGAGCCCTTCAGAGATCATAAAGCACTTGAGCCGCTTACGGAAGTGACAGCACAAACTGATTATGGTAAACTTCCATACGAAAAGCGCGTTCGCAACAGAGCCGAGATTCAAGGCAAGATAATTACTCTAAAGAATCAAGGTCGATTTATAAATGAAAATAATATTATGAAAGGTGCTCTGTAGGAAACCGAACTGTAGCCAGTGCAATGTCCCAAGTGGCAGACATACGGGCACAGTCTCTGGACTTACTTAACCCTTAGCCTGTCGAGTAATTTTCTGCGAATCCCTTTAAAACTGTCGCTAGTTTTGGACCGAACTTCCCGTAAAATGTCGCGAAAATAACCCTAAACCTCTGAAAATTGTCAAGCAGTTCTTTTGTTATTTCCCACCCCTCCCAGAATTTTAGATCAATTGTTCCTCCTAAAAGATATTGATTGCACTGTAAACATTAGTAGATGCGAACTGTCAAGAACTTTGCGAATGTATAGCTTCTCTCTGACGGACCCTGGGAGTGCTTTAGGTTAATTGTCCTCCAAATACTCATCAACATTTCATGAGTAAACGGTATCAGAACTAAAAGGATATTCTTTCATACAAACATCTCATTTTCGAATAAATTGCTTTCAAAATTTGCCTGTTTTCATTTTTAATTTTTATGCATTTTATAACCAAGTTACCCAGATTTCGAAGTCACTGATTTCATTGCAGATCGATTAAATTGCATTATAATTTATTAATAAAATCTGTATTAACTGGTACATGTTTCATTCCTTCTGTGACACTGTTACAACATTTAAAAAGCATCATTTATTAGTTCTCTTGAATGTTACATTATTTTCCGATTTTTTTAGCATAAATTAAAAATCTTTAAAACATTAATCTTTTTCTATATTTTTTATTTGCATGCAAATAATAATTATCTTTTAATAGTTCTATAATTCCTTATAGATATATTCCTTTTTACCTTTTTATATTTTTAAGATGTTTAGCATAATATTCGAATAATTATTATAAAAAAATGGTGTTTTATGATTTCTGCAA